CTTTGTATTCATTAGAATCCACAATTTCGCTACGTAAAGCTGAAATATCAGGATCCCAAAATTTGAAATCCTCATGGACAAAACGGTTATTGCAGGATCAAAAGTTGCTGTGCTCAAAAATCCGGTATTGTGATTCTGGCATTTTTTTTTTTTGGAACAGATAGGACAACGTAGTTTTTATTCCACCATCCCATGTTCGGGCTTCTGCATGTTGTGTGCATGTGTGTGTGTGTGTGTGTTCTCATGTGAATATGCACTTTGGAGCTTGGACAACTGTTAAATTGCTGAGTGGGAGTGTAACATGGGAGAAAAAGTCCAACTTGGTATCAATATTTGTCTGACATCTTTCTTGCAGGGAGGAGGCTGATGAGTTATGCCGAACACTGGAGGAGAATGAGGAGAAATCACGGACTGCCTCGGAGATGGGAGATGTGCTCTACCATGCCATGGTTTTGTTAGCTCTAAGAAGCGTAAGAGTAGAAGAGGTTCTACAAGTCCTTAGACAGAGATTTACTCAATCAGGCATTGCTGAAAAGAAAAGCCGCAAATTACAAGGCTAAACATCAAGCTGTATCAGTTGCAAACATGTTCCATCTATCCACATAATCACTTCAATTATTGCAGAAACATGGTGAATGGCCATTAAAAGTTTGCAGAAACAAGTTTTTCAATGTGCCATCAGATCATTGCACATCCAACCATCTGCTACCACATCATGCTCAACTTGTATCACAATTTGAAAGAGTGCTTGTTTCACAAGTTCATATGGTTTTATTCACCTGATTGTGGGTAAGTTTATATGGTTTTATTCACGTGGTGGTGTGGCCTAGACTTGGTGCTATATTTTGATTTTGAATAAAATATTGTTCTTGATTTGTTGCCTGTTTTAGAGTTGTAAATCTAAATGCCCCTCTGTAATCTATAGATTCTATACAAATTTGAAATTCGATAACATGTGAGTATTCTTGGTCCGGGATACCCTTAGCACTGGGGCTTTTGGTTTCCAACTTGTTGCTGTGAATCTTCTTAGTGCTGCTTGAACCATTTGCAAGCTAATGCAGCCAACATGGTGAATTTTATCAAAGTAGACTTACTGTGTACCTATTATGTTACCTGTAGAATGGGCAAATCACTAGGATACTTAGCCTGATTGTCCATGTGGAATGGATGTTCTGCCAGAAAATGCTTATAACTTTTATGTCAGATTGCGAATGAACTGGTGGTGGGATTTATTATTTGCTCCTTCTCCTTCACCTCATAACACCACAATCTCAATGCATGGAGCAAACTCCACCCCACCCTTTGCTCAGCACTGTCAAGCCACTTACTCTCTCTTCAAAGTTATTGTTGGTCGGTTCATTTGCCCATTCTTTGTTGAAATTGTCTGCTTGTGTGTGTGTGCGACTTAGGCATCTATAAATCTGCCCTTAATCCTCCTACCTCTCCCTCAGGTGGATTGATCCTCATCTTTAGAGGTGGCCTGGATGACGTTTTGGCACCCAAGGACCCACAAAAATGACTAGTTTTGGGTACTTTGGATTATTTGCCAATTAAAAATGTCATCTCAAGTGAATGGCAAGATTTACGATCTGTGATGTGGTGTCATAAGACCGAGTAGTTTTGGAATTGGTGATTTCTTCTTTGTAGCAAATGCAGATAACCCTAATGTAGAGCATTATTTATGGAGCTAAATCTTTTGTGCGTGTTTGTTGACAGGGTTAGGGTTTTACCTGGATGCAATACTATTACAAATGAAAAAAGGTTGAGCTTTTTGTCAAAGCCCAATGCCAATGGACACGGAGTTACTTTTCTGTCTTTTAAAAATCAGCTAAAATTTCACACCTTGTCGATTTTTTTTTATACGTTGATACCATTTTCCATTTTTAATGCACAACAGATATCTGTAAAGCGAACAAATCTGTCATCTCTGTCAATTATTAGCCGTCACATACTCCAATGAATATGCATCTCCACAGTGGCAGCTTTAGTATATCAGAATGTGCAATACAGAAGGGAGAAAAAAAAATCCCAACCGAATTAAAATATGCTTCATGACTTACCTATCAAATAAGAGGTCCTGATATTTTTTTTCTATCCCTTCAATAACTATTCCCCCTCTTCCTCTAGAGTCTAAATATATACATGGTATTGGACTTGTATTTGTACTTGCGTAGTGTCATACCATGGGCCTCTCCACTCTCCCAAACAAACCTTGGGTAGCTTTTCATACCAAAAGCAATAGCCGAAAACTCCTTTTACAAGGCTCTTGTATTCATCACCTGTCTTATCCTGCCCTTCCAAACCACCCACAGACTAGCAAGTCACTTGTCCAAACAATGGCAAACAAATTCTTAATGATGCCAGGACCTCAAGAATGGTTACAAATCGAGTCCTGAACAACAGACTCTTGAAATGGCAAACTCATCCATTCCATATTGTTATTCTTTAGGCCAGCAGCAGCTTCATGCCCACTCAAGTGATTAAATGGATTAGCTATCTGGGGTAACATGTTGCTGGTTGTGTGTATGCCCCCACCTAATCCGTCATAGTTCCGTGACTGAGTGAACTGTTCAGTAGTGCACATCGGATTATAGGGGGCACCAGAGCGTAACTTACTACACTCAGATAGAACACTAAATAGGCTCTGGTCTACATTGCTTCCATTTCCAAAGCTATTGGGAATGACAGCACCCTCTGCACCAGACCAGCCACTATGGGCTCGACGCTCATCAGAAAACCAATCCCGTCTTAACAACTCTCCACCATTCAAATGAGATTGGGGAGGTGCTGACATCCGGGTGTTATTAACAGCCAAATCAGGAATTTTGATGGGCAAGAAGTGTTCTTCCCTTGGGATAGAATACCTATTTCTACCGGGGTACATATTCTGCTGTGTGTTCCGGAGTAAGTAAAGATCGTTCAGTCGCTTCTGCCCCAGCTCCAGAGGCAGTGGTGAACACAGCTGCTCCCTAAAATGCCCAGGAAACTGACTAGTTTCCACCCCTTCAAGAAATTAGAGTAGCTCATTTCAGCATTGGTTGCAGAAAGGACTGAAGAAAGACACACCATTGGATTGTCTGTGCAAAAAATTTCTCCCAGGGTCTTCGTCCCTCAAATTACATTCCAAATCAATCAATTGGTGGGTTGGTTGCTTGTCACTATCTTCTGGATGCCCAAGTGACAAGTCATGGGCAGAAGCATAATCATGGTTAACAGAAATAGAATGATAATACGAACCTGGCACACTAACCGTTGGCCAAGCATCACCAGCAGAAGATACAGCATTCCCCCGACTAAAAGGAACATCCACATGGTTAAAATTATCTGAATACCCCGATACACGAGGAGAAATATCATCTATTTTCGTCATTACATGGCTGTCAACAGAATCCAGATCTATGGAGTGGAGCTCATGACTGCCACAGAATGAAGAGATCTGCAGCAGATCCTGATTTCGTGTGCAGGCAGAAACAGACTCATTATTATCTGCCATGGTATATTCAAAATTTGTTGCTTCATCATCCATTTGCTCCTGAAGTATGAAATCTGGGTTCTCTTTCTCTTCATCCTGTCCACCAAGCAATGAGCGGACAAAGATTAAGAGATAATAACTTATGAAGCTTATCAAAGGCAACAAGTTTGGCAATGACCTTTTAGAACTTAAAAAGGTTGACTTGATGCTCAGATACCCACACTCACACACAAATACACAATCACATACAGAAGGAAAGGGCAGATGTAACAAACCTCTAGTGCTACTCCATTGTCCTTCTGCTCCCAAAGCAAGCTATCAGATTTCTCTTTAATCTCATCCTGACCAACCAATCATTAACTGAAAGTAAATTTCATAGAACGAAAGAAATCTATTGGAAGTTTGGAACAGAGTCACTGGTTCATGAAAAATATGCTAGATGTTGGAGAAGTTCATTGTTTATGGCTCATAATAGGCTCCTGTACCCATTCTCATACTAACAAACAAGAAACAAGTGGAAAGTAACACACCACAGATGTAAGTGTAGGTTCAGGTTCTGCTGCCCCATCATCTTTCACCTCTGAGAACATATCTTGACAGTTCTCTTCCTCTGAATCCTGATCACCCAAATTACAACTAGAAGTTAATGCTACAGACATAGACATACTCACAAGCAGTGCACAGGCTGATAAGGACCTGCTGGTTATCCTAAAAGTTAAAAATACATCCTCGGACATTTTAGCTCACACACACAAAACGCTGTGAAAGAGGAGCACAGAGTCAAACCTCCTTCAGAGACTTTAGTTTGTCTTTCATTTCTTGCTCCAAAGATTTGGTCAGTTCCCATTTCTCTAATTGCCTTCTTCTCCAGTTTGCAAAAGTTGCAGGGAGGTCTCTTATTGCTACTTGCAACCTGGATAGACAAATGATAAAGTTTGAGGCAAAGGGTTGTACATGATAACTGTTGAGATTGCCCAAAACATTATTAAGGGGCCTAGGCAGAATGCTATTATTTGAATGCTTCATGCTACTCTTAATAAGTTGATGCTGCTCCTTGCTAACCTGAAAAAAAACAAGCAGATGATCAGCCTAAATCCTCCAACGAATATTCGAGTTGTATTTGCTTCGATATCAACAAGATCAGGTCCTCAATAATCAATTATGCATCCTAAAGAAAAGATTTTAAAACCTTGCGTTAGTTCCTAGCGAAAGGTTTTCACACACAAAACTCTGAAGTAACGAAGTCAAAATCATTATACTTGATAAATGGCAACAAGATGGACCTGGTTGAAAATTAATCTGATGTTAGATGAAGAAAAGAAATTTTGAATATCAAAGTCCACCTATGACAGTGTTATAATAGTATAAATCCATGTTTATGAAAAAACAGATTCAAGGAAATGTGCTGTCCAACTACCTTGATATAAGACATATATTTGGCACCATCAATGCACTGAATATTATGCTTGTGTAGCCTTTCTACTTTTCTATGTCTTGTGACCACCTCAAGCCCATCTGGCGTATAATCTTATTTGCCCTCCATGATGTCTTTTCTGCATATCCTGACACCCAACACATCCAACTAAATGAAACAAGACATCAAATGATAAATGCTTTGCTCCTAACAGGGAAACCCTGCGCAAATGACTGAAAATAAAAGGTGAGATTAACTGTGTGCGTGAATGTGTGTATCCTTTTTGTGTGTGTGTGTTTTCTGTAGTGGGGTGAGGTGGGGCCACTGTGTGTATGTAGAGAAAGATGCCAAAGGGATAAAAACTAAGAAAAGGACTTGCAGTAAAAGGATAGTCAAGATATAAAAACAACTGCTGCTATCAGACTTTGCTCTGGACAATTACTACCACCATCTAACTAAAGTGTACCTCAAAACAACTTTCGCGCGAGAATTGGGAAACAGGAAAAGCCATATCCAGTCGCATAGTTTCCCATACAAAGGGACACTATACTAATTCCTAACTGAAATTTATCTTTACAAGCAAGAACATTTATGATTGGTAGGCTACAAGGCAAGCATGGCTTAAACATGGGTCCGTGGTATCAACGTGAACAGATAAACAGTATGCAAGCACATTGCTCTTGAAGAGCCGAGCAATAAGTGCTTTGTCAATCCAACTGAAAAAGTACATCTCTTCTCTTCAAAAAGGACAAAAGTATAAGAATTTCAACCGTCCCACGCACGAGGATAGAGGCAAAAATAATAAATAAAGTAGGGTCAGAAAACCAGCAATAACATATGGTTAGCATCTAGCAGTGAAAACAATAGAACATGTAATTTCTGCCAGCCTTTACCCAAATGTTGAAAATAACTTGGCCTTCAAAAATAATCGGTCCTTGTAACCCTAGTCAGTGCATATACATAAAGACATCAGCAGATACATATAAGTCTAGAATTAAAATTAGGTTGAAGATTCAACTGAGTCACACGTACACAGAAAAAACATCCTCTATAACAAATTTGTTCCAAACACCTTGATAATATTACATAACTGATACACTAGTTTTTTTTTTCCGGAGCCAAATTCATCTTCAAATGATTAAGTCATACTTGGACCCTTAATCCTCAATTCCTGGTCAAACTTAAAAAAAACTAAATCCACATCTTGAAGCATCGGCGTAGCAAATGGTAAAAAACCTTACCAACTTTGAGGTTCTCCATGCATCAGGTTTGGGTTATCAATACAACAAGCTTGCTCATCAGCAGCCCAAGAACAAGACTCAGAAGTAGTAACAAGATTCTCATCAGGATCACGGAGTCTAAAATCATTTGGATGAGCAGGGGTACGTATCAACATAAGCTTTCTTGACCTGCTTATAAAACTTAACTTAGATGTACAGTAGAAAGAGAAGGAATCAAGTACTGATCCCCAAAAAATACCTATTAGGATGCTATAACAATTTTTATCAGAACCTTCCAAAAAAAGTAACTAATTAGCAAAACTTATTTGTGACGCAAAAACAGAATAGCCCAATAATTTTCTGTTTTAAAGTTAACAGAAGTATACAGCACGACACTTGTGCGAATGTAAATTTATTAAGGACAAAGCCCTTCTCTTGGTTCACCCATCTTGTATGGATATACGCACAGGACACAAGTAACACTGAAAGCACAAACAGCATGCGCAGTATCTTCCATATATTAGTTCCACTTAACAGAGTTCTGTGTTTCCCACTTGCACTAACAGAGAAAATTCCCCAGTTCAGGTTAAAATTGTAAAAGGCATGGCTCACTCCTAACATACACAATTAAGCATCATATTCTTTTGACAAGGAGCAGTAGCCATGATGATATAACACCGGAGTCGAGTAACAAAATTTGTGATGACTGTGCTACTCATATTAAATTACTGCCAAACTCATCAACAGCACCAAAATGCAAAACATACAGAGAGTATCAACCTCCAGATCTTCTGCACAATTTCATTTTCTGGATCCTTGCAGCCTTCCCATCTTCCTTTCCACATCTGTAAACTCCTTATCATACTGTCACAAGAAGCAAAAAGATGCAATGACCATACAACTTAAAGTGAAACCACAAATTAAAACAACAGGGACTAAAATGAAGGAGAATAATATACGGCTGTCAAGGTTACATACTCATTATGATACTTTTGTAACTCTGAACGGTATGCCTTCTTCTTAGTCTTGTTATTCTTTTCTCGACGAAGAACATAATCAGGATGAAGATCACCAAAACAAAGCAAGGAACCCCTGCAAGAATATATTCCAGAAAAATTGACCAACTCAAACTTCAGCATTGAACCATATAACATCCAAAGGGACAACTTATTCCAAGATCATGAAGTTATATTACATGGAAGTTCACTGCATCCATTCTTGGACTTAAAAGAAATTAACATATTGTGAACCACAAACAGAATAGAAACTCGCAAACAGCTGAATCAGAGCTCCCTGAGTTCTCTTAGGTGGCATTTTATAATTCAAAAACAAAGTGAAATCTAAAGTTCAATGAGCCACACTGCCACAATCTGAATTCTTTCCCTTTTTTATTGACTAGTTCAGTAAAAAATTTACTGCCTATCTGAAAATAAAATTATTCCAAGTTCCAATTTAGGCTATTCAAAAACAAAAGGAAAGAGAGCAAAAACTATACAGTCAGGTTCTGCAGGATCAAGACTATGACTGAAATGATGGCAATACCATTATTGAGCACAGCAATCCATTAGACATCCACTAAAACATACTTCATTACCTTTCACTCCCTTTTGATGCACTACAGATGATAATTGGTTTATCGGCACCCCTTACTTTATATCAGATGTGATTTTCTCCACCAATGACAAACTACTGGGCCCATTTTTACCCAAATTGCATGTTTTATCTTGTACTTCCATGCAAAAAAAGTCAACCACAAGGCATATTGTTCTTATATCACTGTCTGATTGGGCGAGAAATGAGACGGCAACAAGTTATGATAACATTACAGATGAAAACTACTCACATAAATAATGTCATAAATCACAAAAATAAAATCATTTTCTAGATTGGCATCCAGAAATATGATCAACCCATAGCACCAATTATCAACGACTAGTATTCACCAAAAAGTCATACACCTTTCTTTTAAAAAAATGGCAAACTTGGTCATGTATCTTCAACATACTAGTATATTAATACGTACCATCTGAGGAATCGATCCCAAAGTGAAAGTTATCCCCTGCAAGCAATTCCTGAACAACTTTATGTGGCTCAGCTTCTTTAGGCAGAAATGAGGTAAGAAGGTTTCGCTCATTTTCAGACAAGTGTACCTGCCAAACCTATAACAAGTTTCACATATCAATACAATGCTCATCATTTTAAAGTCCAAGGCATTTGAGCATTCCCATTAGATTATCTTACCTCATATTAGAGAACCTCAGTTAAGTTTTCCAATTCAAAAATTTCGTGAGGAACCGTAAAAACATCAGCCAAGATATTGGAGCAATGGGGAACAGCATCAATAAATGGAAACAACTCTCTCCGTGAAATGCTAATCTGCTCCCTCTTGGCAATAACACTCTTCTTCTTGTCATCCCATTCAAGACAGATATTAGATCTCATGTCTAATCATATTCTTGTAATCCAAGCTTTTTTGCTTTGTTCTGCTCCCTTGAAGTGCAATCCTCAACACTGGAAGAATTCAAACGTTTCTTTCGCTGATCGGCCTCCATTTGCAAAAATTATCAGAAAAATCCCCAGTATAACATTGTACAAACACATGACAATAAGGAGTCAAGATCTAAACCAACAAATATCTTCTCTCCATGCACACTGAAAGCCATCATTTCACAGGGGACATTGTCAATAGCTAACTTAAATTGTAGTTTACTGAACACAAACCAGATTAACTACCACAATATGCACAATGCATTTGAGCTCAGAATCACATGTCAAATGTAAACTACTTATAAAGTCCTAGAATTTGAGAAAAATGGTGGTAGCATCCAGAACTCACACATCATCACACCTTCAGGCTTCAGTAAACCAATATGTTATATATAGATCTATAAAGTAAGGCCACTAATAGATATTGGGATGATAGATCAAAAACTGAAACGAAATCCAAAGCATAGTTAATGGCACCAGTCCAAGGAATATGTAATCAACACAAGTAATAAATGTGAATACCAAACGAACCACCCACAAGTTTCAAGGAAACCTACAATGAAAGATCAAATTTTCGTTTCATTTCGGACGAAATGATGGAAACTGAAATAAACCAATGATTCAAAATTGAAATATCCCGATTTGGGGTATTACAATCAAAATTCCAAAGTTTTCTTTGTTTTCATCTATTTTCAATACGTTCTTGAAATATTCTTTCCCAAGTTGACCAAAAGTATACACCGTAACCAAGTTTTGATCTTTGTCTGCATCATGATCATCATATTGTACATGAATCCATTGATTAATTCCATCTAAGTGAAAGTGAGACAGTCAACCAAGGCCTGCAATATGAGAAATATACAATGAGCTAAGACAATTTCAAGCATAGAAGACGGTACAATAATAAGAGTAAATTTATCAATAGGAACTCACCTCACCAAATCTTTGTCCCAACCACTTGGAGTGGACTAAATGAATCCTATCCTGCCATACTACTAGATCTTTGTTCCTATTTTTCATTTAACAGCAATCTATCATATCCTTTTTCAATTATCTTCCTCTATGTTAATTTTAGTCTTCCTCCACCCCATGAAATACAGTTAATATCACATCACATCTAGCTATAGGTCTTCTTTGAACATATCCAGACTGTCTCAATCAATCTCCTATGAATTAGAACTGATTTTGTTCTTTCTTTTTTCACCAACCGTCCATCATAACCACGTTTCTTTTTTGTGAACGTGTTATTCCTTAGTTCCCCATGCACAATCTCGTAAAACATAGCTGGGCTATTATTGTACATTCCCTTTCAACTGAGGAGATAATACACTAAATATACTCCTATACTTAATTCATCTAGCTCGCCCTCTCCATGTATAACCACCAAGGCAAAATGATAAAGATGCAGAACTGATCTCTACAGCGCTTTTAAATTCACGAACTTCTACAATTGCTCTTAAGGTAGTCACAACTCGCTCATACATGTCCTTCCATGTATAAATATACTTGCATAACTCTATATATTTAACACCCACCGTATCATGTATGTAGAGACTGGACTTTCTCATTTGTCTTCTCCAAACTGTATAACCATATGGAAATCTTTTTCCCCTATTACCATTCATTAGTCTCCTAAGTTAGTGGCCAACTTCTATTATTGACCTACTTGGCAGTTGGTGGAAATCCAAATTCAATCTCAATAACGTGTTTGAAATCTCAATCGTGCACAATAACACACTCACTTTTTCAATGTATGACTTACTAATTTAACAAACCAATAGTAAGTACAACTTTAAATGTCTTCCTATATTTAAATACATAAGTATTAAACTAACTTGTCTCTGTTCAGCATACTTTTTTTAATCCTATCTAAGAAATATTTTACAAATCAGGAAACTCCAACATTCCTTATAACAAAGATCTGAACTAAAACCTCTTCAAATATTTGGTCAAATATAGATGTGAATATATATACTACCAAACATAATCTATAATACCAAATTGTGTGCTAAGAAGGGGAGCCATGGCACCATAATTGAGTTCCGTAAAGCTCGCAGCAATAACCGATGGCCAGTTCAACATAATTTCCAAGGTATACTCGCAAATTACGTTCCCACTACCAGATTACAGGCTACTTTTTAAACATTGTCACGAAGATGTCATGATCATTGTCACAGACAACCAACCCATACCAATTTGTAATAGGTGGAAAGACCCTCCAACAATATTAACCAATCTTAGATGGCGTTAACCTTTCAATGGAGATACAAGCTCTCTTCAAACTCTCCTCAACGTGAAGGGCAAGCTTACACGTAGCATCCAACACAAAAGCAATTGGCAACGAATGGAGAGGTACTTCAACAATATTACCAACAGGCTTTTGGTCCAATGGTACTCATTACCTTATTAAAGTTTTGCCTTCTTGAGATCAAGGATTCAAGTCCCTTTTCCCAAAAAAAAAAAAAAAAAAAAGGTCCTTCAACAATATAAACAAACCTTGACAACCCCGATCTTTCAATATGAGGTACAAGCTCTCTTCACAATCATACACTATTAAAAGTGGCATGATCATAACCCACAAAGAAAGCAATATAAATATGAATCACCACTCACGCTAACAACACCCATTTGTAAAGCACGATTCCTACAAAACAAGCAATACTCAGATAACCATCATTGTTTAATCAAAAGATTAGAGTCTTAGAATATGTCACAAACAGACAATGGTCGAAGTGAGTACAGAAAAAATAACTTCAAGGATGCACCACCTTTGCCTATCTTGTCAAGTCTCCAACTAGTCATTCCAAAAAAGTCAGATCAAAGCTGCCTAGTTTCATTTTTTAGTCGAAATTTTTTTGCCTTGTGGGTTAACGGGTTGGAAACATGGATTGAGCAGGCATTCACTTGTATGAAGTTGCACCAAACTTAACTAGTAAGTCGCCACTCATAGTTGAGGCAGGAGGAGGGACAGTTCTGCGAAATCAGAGGGGACAACTGGTGGTTGCAGGTTCATTTTATTATGGGCATGGTTCAAATCTGGAAGCAGAAGGAAGAGCTATGATGGATGGCTTGATCTTATTGGAAGAATTTGGTTTACTTGTCTATCCACTCATAGTTGAGTCACACTCACAAGTAATACTAGACATGATTTCTGGGAAAATAAGTACTCCGTGGAAACTAAGGGACCTAATTACTTGAATCTCTAGGAGGTTGAGTAATTTGACTTGTACACTGATTCACACATTTAGAAAGGGGAACATGGTGGCTGATTATTTAGCCAGAAAAGGGGTTCTAGACAAGGCAGATACTCGAATTAACTCTTCTAATGTATTACCATCACAAGCAAGAGCTTTAATTTTACAAGATCAGAGGCAGATTAAAACATCAAGACAGAAGAAATCCTGGGTTCACAGAAGCCAAGTGATGGATAGAAATTAGGAGATAGTACATGAGGTTCAATGACAGAGAAGATAGAAGTCTGTACCTTTTGCTTTAAGCTCCTCAGGATGGTTTCGACTATCTCAGATCAATAGTTTATTTCACTGCTCTTGGTTTTTTCATATTCTATCACAGCAACTTCAAGCTCCTGCTCTAAGGCTTCTCACGCTGGGCCTCCCCAGATTTGTCTCTGAAGCATTTATGGTTGTTCTTTGGTTTGCTAATGGGTTGGATATTCATCTTCTCCTCTTACAAATCTTCTGGCTTGTGTTCTCTGCAATCTGGCTTTTTGTTCAAGAATTACATCTTGGATCTGGGCTTCAATGTTTTGGATTCTGGTCTTTTCTGGTCAGGGATGTGGAAAGCTTTTGCTGGATATTCATCCCTTCGCAGAAAATGGAATTGTTGCCAGGCAAAGTCATTCTTTCGTCTGGGCAAAATTACGGAGTAATCTTTTTTTGGCTTGGATGCCCATACAGCTACCTTATCAGAAAAGCACGTTAACTGTTCAATAGGCGCATTGCCTTAGCACTCATCGGCCTTTCATTTTTTGAAGGCAGTCGATTCAGCTTCCTCTGATAGCTTATCTCCTGGCCTTTAATTTTTCAAGGCAGTCTGTCTAATGGATTTATCTGATAGCATTTCAGTCTGTTTAGTGGACGTATGCTCAAAGCTCAGCCTTACTCTCAGCTCGTCTTCCAGCTCACCACAGCTGCTGTTTGTGGCTCACTTGGTTCCTTACAGCTCTTGCTCCGAGCTCATCTCCCATTTCAAACAGCAGCTGGCCTAAACCATCTCAGCTGATACACTCAGCGTTTTACCTTCTTTCAGCTGATACTCTCAGCTTATTAGTTTCTGTGGAGATTTATCCGCGTTCGGGATATCCTTGCCCACCGAAAGATTTTGGTTGATTTGGCGTAAGCCTACGTTTTGTGTAGGTAGCCTTTATTTCTCTTCGCCCGCAGGAGTACGTTCGTCCCACATCGAAAGAGAGTCGTATTTTCCCTCGCATATAAGCCTGGACAGTACATGAAAGAGGTACCCACTAGCCACTTGTTACCTCCTCCATGTATTGACCAGGCTTGTATGCGAGGGGGGAGAGACGACTCTCTTTCGATGTGGGACGAATATGCTCTTACGGACGAAAAGAGATAAAGGCTATTGGCACAAAGTGTAGACTTACGCCAGGCCAGCCAAAATCCTTCGGTGGGAGAGGATATTCTGAACGCGCGGATAAATCCCTTACGGCTTCAATTAGCTGGCTCTTTCAGCTTGGAGTAGAGAGCATACATAGTGATTATTATTTCATGGTTTTTTTGTACTATGCATGCATTTTTCTCTTTTTTTTTAATGTTTATTCGTCTGAAATGTAATTAGATTGTATCAAGGGTAAGGTACATACGTCCCCTTAATTAGGTATAATTTAATTTTTTAATCAATAATTTCCTTCGTACCATTGAGGTTCACCAAAAAATATATATATTAATATTGATATTTTGGGAAAAAATAAATAATATTGATTTTTTTATATCATGTTAAGCATAACACGACCACTTAAAAGTTTTGTAAAGATAGAAAGATTTGCATGATATGTTATAGATTAGTTTGTTATTTAAATATGTGGGAATATAATGGTAATTTGAATATTTAAATATAAAAAGATATATTAGCCTTTATAATTTTTTTATAAAGGAAAAATAGTAAATCAATTTTTTTCATATTAATGTACTTTTATTAGTAGTATAAATATAGATTTATTATTTCGTGTCTAATAAGTTGTATCATATCGGGTTCATATTGTATTTAATCAATACATGAACAAATTATATCTTATATATTCTTTTGGGTTAATTGCACTATAAATTTTCAAATTATGAGATTTGTTTCATTTTGGTTATCAATATTTTACTTGCATCATTTTAGTGTTTGAAGTATTGAATATATTTTTGTATAGTCCCTCAAGTAGACAACGTCCATATTATTAACAAATTTTTATTATAAACTTGTCATCTAAATTATATAATAAAGTAATTAAATTGTTTGTTTTGAGTTTTTCGCGGTTCAGATCGTTTTGATCCAATGGTCTTAATTGAACTTTCATTTTTTTTACAACTCTAAAACTCTCATCTCTCATATAACTCTCTCTCTCGTTATGTTATCTTTTTTTTTGTTTCCTCTATTTTATTTTTGTTATTATTTACTCCATAAAATAGATGAAACTACATGTTATGCAATAATTTATTCCATTAAACTAATTCAAAGTTTTTATATATCTGACAGTATCTATTTTACCACATGCTTCTTAATTTATAAATAACACATAATGTAAATCAAAAAATAGCACATTGACAGTAAACACTAAACAATATTCAACACGAAATGAACATTAGATTGTAAATTTATATATAATGTTATCAAAAAATGACATTTAATTTTGTCTAATTTATATTCAACTTTATTGAATTAATATCAAATTAATTTTTTTAAGTACTAAATTATATTAAATTTTTAGGTACTAAATCAAAATTTATTTGATTTTATTAAATTTTAAATTTTTTTTGATATTGAATTTGGAGAAAGACAATTGTAAAAATAATAAAATTTTTTGAGATGAAATTATCAATTTCATTAGCAATATTGACAGAAGGGAGACAGAGGGGGGTCTCTGTGCAATGTATTTTAAACATCAGAGGTCTCCGTGTTATTTATAAAATGTTAGGAGATGTCCGTATAATATTATCAAAACTCAGGCTATGTCCGTAATTTTTTATCCTATTTTTTAATTTACATATTAATTTATTATTATTTTATATTACAAACTTGAATTATTGTATTTTTAATAAAAATAGTTATTGGTTATGAGAGTTTGTTGGTAACCAAAAAAGAAATGTGCGTGGGTGTGCTTCTGTGTATATTTATCTATGGAGGATTAAAAATTTGGTGATTAAATTTATAATTATATTATGTCATTTTAGGGTTAAATGATAATAGTGGTGATGAATTCATAAGTTTCATAAATGAGTATGATTTAGTTAATTTTATTTATCGCTTTACAATTGTGAATTTAATTGTATTCTGTTGGTTTTTTTTTTTTTGGCTTGAGGTATTTATTACATGAGAATATGGTGGTTGAATTTATAATTATGTTATGTTATTAGATTGAGTAGTAGTAGAGGTGATAAATTCATAAGTCTTATAAATGAACAAGATTTTATTTATTGCTTAAAGATTATAAATTTCAACGGGTTATGTTAGTATTTATTTTTGTCAGAGGCATTTATATATATGATGTTATTTTAGGGAGTTTTTATATATCTTTATGACAGTTTCATTAATATAAAGGATATGATCGACGATATATTTCGAATCATTATAAAAAAAGAATTAGTGCAAATATTTTTATGTCATTCCTTTTGAATTTTGACAATTGTTTAAGATTTTTTTATTTATTGTATAGTGCCTTTAGACACGGGTAATAACTAGTATCTAAATATGAAAAAAAAAAAACTGAATAACTCTTAACCAAAATTGGGTAGCTCTTTATAAAAAATGCGTAAATATGAGTAGCTCTTGATAAAAAAATGGATAACTCATGATCAAAACTATATAATTTCGATAACTCTTCGACCAAAATTTTGGTCAAAAACTCCTCAAATTATTTTTTGGTCATATTTACGTATCACGTAACAAATTTATGATAAAAAATCGTTAATAATTTGAATGTTGTTTACTTGAGAGACCACATAGAAACATATGCAATACTTGAGGGACTAAAATGATGCAATTAAAAAATTGGGGACTAAAATAGAACAAATCACATACTTTAGAAACCTCCATTGCAATTAATCATTTTTGGCTTTACTCATATATAATTCTTTTATTAATCGTGTTGTATTTGATTCATTCGTTTATGAAACAGTTAACTTAAAAAAAATTCAAACCATCTAATTTCGTGTTATATTTATATCGTCTTAATAAGTTGTATCATATTTTGACTAAAAACTAATAGAAGAACTATATTGCAATATTTTTTATACGTTTAAGGTGCAATGTGAGAAATTTATTCTTTAAGGGTACAAAATAAAAAATTTAAAATCTTTGAGGGTGTAGTTCACTCTATTTTTTACTATTTTATTTAAAAATAATTTTGATATTTCTCAACTACGCTTATTGTCAATAGATATCATACTATTATTTTTTCACCAATGCCGCAAAAAGGTCGTCTATAAATATGTTCAAATTATATAAGCCGATTTTTCTTAACATATTTCCTATGCGTATTATCTGTACTTTTCTATGTATATATCTGTATTTTATTTTTTTTATAGTTTTATCATTTATCTACCTTAATTAGGTATGTCATTCGTGTCGAGTGAATTTGTGTTAGATCTTAATGGGTTCGTTTCAAAAAGTACTCTACCTATACCCAATTCATTTATTAATTCGTGTTATATTAGGTTTATATCATGTATCAATCGCGTAAACCGATATATAAACGAGTTATGTCGTATATTTATTTTGATTAATTTCACTTATATTCAATTCGTTTATTAATCATCTCATGTTGGTTCCACTAGTTTACAAAAAAAATGACTTAAAAAACATTCAAACCCTCTAACTTTATATCGTATTAATAAAACGTGTCATATTTTAATATGTCTAATCTTAACACTTTCATTTCCACTCTACTCAATTTTTAAACATATTATTTTTTAGTTGTCCAACACTATGTAGCCATAAAACATAATGAATCTTATGTTCGTTCTATATTACTTTTATTTTAGATCAAGGGGGGTATACATCTATCACTCAATTAATTGAATACATTATTCCATTTAATTTATCATGCATTAATTTACGAGTAACATTGTTTAACTAAGCACCATTTTCTCAGCATCATAATTTTCAGACATTCGGAATCATCGTGGAAAAGGCAACTTATTCAAATATTCAGACCCACAAAGCGTCAACAACAATTGCAATATCTAAGTTGCATAAGCATTAGTAAACATGCACAAAAGGAAAGGGGATGAAATTCAAAAATATCTGCCACAAGTATTGGTTAACTTTGAATAAATTAATTTTTCTGAGATCCAATAATTCCACCATCCACTGGAAAGAACCTCCTCTGCAAAGCTCATCCGATCAGTAACTTGTTCTCATCCAAGAAAGTGTAACTAGGTACCTCCAGATTGTACGGTGCTGGGCCTTTCCGAATCCTGCCAGAAATGTCATAATGAGAACCATGGCAGGGGCAAAACCACCCCCCAAAATCACCAGCATTGGGCAAGGGGATGCAACCCAGATGAGTGCAGACCCCAATAACAATCAGCCATTCCGGATTCTTGACTCTGGCCACATCTTCCTGAGGGTCACGGAGGGAACCCACATCAATACTGTTTGCTAGCTTGATATCCTCCTCTGTTCGGCGCCTAATGAAGACTGGCTTTCCCCGCCACTTAACAGTCACAGTGGTACCAGGTTCAATGCTGGATATATCAACCTCAAGAGAGGCTAGTGCGAGAACATCCTTGCTGGCTGACATACTGAGTACAAACTTCAAGACGAGGAGGCGGATCAGGGAAGCATACACAAACCTGCCACCTGTCAAGACAAAATAAGCAAACGCCCTTTTGCTGGGATCGCCTGGAGGGTAACGTTCATGGTTATGCTCATCATAAATGATCTTTGATGTAGGATTCTTAACAGCTGCTACAGTTGCTGGAATGTTGGGAATCATGCTGTTTTCATTTGTTGCAGTGAGTGAACCCAAAGCAAAACCTGCAACAGTCATCATCCCTTAATAATACCAATCTTTTAAACCACTAGTTATTACTAGTCCACAAGTAAACAAACGTCACTTTGTCCAGCCATTTCAGCACTGATAATTACAGTCAGAAACGAAGGCCGTAAGGAGGGTATGTCATCTTACAAACTAGCCTGAATGGAGCCTCTAAATCAACGAAGTAATACACAGAAATTCAGCAAATTGCAAGTTCTACAGTGCATTTGCAGGTCATTTTCTAGAACCCAAGTTTAAACTATTCATAAGTGGGTTTCTAAAAACAGGTACTGAAGTAGATTCCAGACACAATACCTTCAATTCAATGTATCTAAGAACAGTTACTGAAGTAGATTCAAGACAAAGAGCCTTCAATTGACCAATAGAGCTCAGTGATCATGAAATTGCATACAGGACTATTGAAGTATCTCAAACTGTAGGCACCACCAACTTTTCAAGAGAGGTTAGATGGTCCACCTTAGGGTGCATTTTTAAATGGAATGAATTTAATCTTTTTCTATTTTTTTCCGAACAACAGTCATGCATAGAGAAACTTCGAATGTTGAGGGAAGGGACATAAGAAGGTATAGAAAGGAGAAGTTGAAAGAGAACCTAGCGGGGTAGTATTCTTGTCATTAAGGCAAAGAGAGTGAGGTCATTGCTCACATTTCTCTCCCATATGATCAAAATTAGGGCTTAGTTTAAAAGTAAGAGAAAGAGCAGCTTGCTTCCTTGCAATAGTGAACAAAATGAACAGAAGTACATTTTCGGAGAAGACAAAAATGAAGAAAGCGACGAGGTAATAATTGGCAAGAACTCATTTCTCATGATGGAATGGGCTTTCTACATGCATACCAAGCATCTTCTCTCCCCACCCCAAAACAAGAACAAAAAAAATAAAAAAACCCTATATTGCAAATGCTTCATTCTCATATTTATAATTTCATTTCTTGGTTTCTCTGGCCACCAAGAGTTACTTTCAACGGCCAAAATCCAAAGAGAGGATGTAATAGGATCTTCCTTCAATTTGATAAGGCAAGGAGAAGTTAAGGGAAGGACCTAAAAAAGAGACATAACAAATATCGAGTTGTCTACATGCAATGACTTGGATAACTTGGGCAACCATTTGAGATGGGATGGAATGGCAGCCCAACGCCATAACCACTAAAGACTTAAAAACTCCAAGCCTGATGCTTCAAAATGTCCGTAGTGACATCAAACAAGGCCAAATCTGGAGTGGCAGATGTTTATTTTCCCTACTCCACAGGTCACAATACTGTGCAAGACATTCTTACAACTGGGAAAAATCTTCACAAATATAAAAAAAAAAATTGATAAGAAACAACTTTTTATTGATAGTTGAAGTTAACATGAGTGTGGACAAATAGTCCAACCCTATTACATTTAATGAAAAAAAAAATAAAGATGACTGCCAAGAATTCAAAATTATCTTCCGCAAGATGCCATCGATCTCAATGTAATATAAAAAAGAGGGATATTCTCAAATTCCTTAATAATCAAAGCTCAAAAAGAAGCTAGGAAATAGATCCGATCCCACAACCCTTCCATTATGAGAGTGCCAGTATGGATCACCCCAACACGGTAGTTAGAACGTGGAGTCTTGACTAGTGACTTTGGGGGAGGGGGGTGTTTGAATAGGTCTTAGCACTCGATGCAAAATTTCTTGCCCAATTAAAATCTAATTCATCGGATGTCTCCCCCTAATTCAATGCAAACCTTTCAATTGGATGGATAAATGCAAATCTCAATTCAACAATTTAAAACAAAAAGTGCAATCCAACAACCGATCTCTCTTTTTTTTAAAAGAAAGAAATTTTAACAACCACAAAGATGATAAATCAATCAATCACACAAATCATCAAACACATTGAGAGTGTAAAATTGCAAATGTGTGCAAAGTAAATACGAGAGAAGCAAACCACAACACAAGATAATTTTAACACAAAAATTCTTCCACGAAAAACCACGAGACCGTAGTGCACCTAACCTAATCCACTATACTCAAAATTTGGATTACAAGTTTAAAGTCTTATACCTCAACCAATTCTATGGTTTGAAGTTTAGTCGCTCGTATCTTCGCTGCTCCAAAAATCTACCACGAGCATCTGGAGTAGAAGCTTCTCTAAGCAAGGAACCAAGCTCAATGATCCACCATTTGGAATCCTCGTTAATCTTCTAGAAATTCACCCAAGATCTTTTCACCGTTGTGGATTTGATGGGTTTCTATTTGACCTCTATTTTCTTCAAAATTTTGGAGGTAAAAAGAAAGATTGATCTTGCATATTTAAGGCCTTTGGATGCTTAGCGATGCTAGGGTTTGTTCTTGGATCTCTAGATATTAGATGAGGCAATTTTCTGATTATAGAGGCTTAACCTAGTGAGAAAGATATGCCCATATATATAGGCCTCATAAATAGAGTTTAATTGAGGCCCAAAAAAACTAGGATTCGCGAAAGAGCGCCCGAGATAAGAGAATACGATCACTAGACGATGGTCATTTGAATGCAAAAATGTGCATATCCAGATTTGCCGAACCAGCCAATGGTCTTCCCCGTCAAGTCTCCAACTTTTCCCGAATTTTTACGTAAGTGTTCAGAGATTGCTCAAGCCATAAGCCAACAAGCTTCCAACGATCCCTATTGATTTTTAAGCCTAAAACAAAGCAAACACTTTTTTTATTGAGCACCAAGGGGCATTGCTCACAAGAGTCTATTCTATGACTCAATTTGTGTTTTCAAAACAACATTTATGTTTCAAAAAGGTTTATTAAATCCAATTATTAATAAAAAGAAGAAATCTCAAGGATAACTTAAGGTCTCTAAGTCATACACCTTTTCTAAGATTTGAAGGATTTATGAAAGTTTTAAATGTGACTTTGTAGCTTGGACTTCAACTTCCTTCTTTGCTTTCGATTTTCATCTGTATAGCTTGTGAGCATTACTAACCACACTGCCATAATTTGATTAATGCCTTAACATTTTCTATATATTGAATCATATAAATCCAAGCTTAAACAATGCTAATACACTTGGGAGGTATTTTGTTTTGAATTACAATTTACTTTCGAACTATTATGATGCATACAAAATAAGGATTATGTATGTGAAGATACATAACTGTGAATAATTTTATATGCTAACAAATGCAATGCAAATAAGCATTTCAACATGAACAACACGCCAACCAACAAACCAATCAAGTCAAGCACCTCACATCAGGGTTTTGGCGCAGCCCCACGGGATGTCCTGGAGAACTGGGCCGGTTATTATATTAAATCTTTTGTGCTCAAATCCAGCTGAACTGGCTGGTTTTTGCCCAAACTGTTAGAACAAGAAAGTTTTTAATAAACCGGATGATTTTTAACAAACTAAGTAGGTCCAATAAAAGACTGTAAAAACCAGTTTTTTGGGCATTTTTGCCCTAATCCCTAATCGTTTTGTGGCTCACGCTCTATGTCTCTGCCTATCTTGACGTCTAACGACTCAAAAGTCAAAACTTAGTCATCTCTCTGTGTTGTATTACAACTCTCTCCATCGATCAAAGTACAAACCAAAGGTAGGAATGAGGACTGAGGTTTCCTCGATCACTATCGTCAGCTCTTCATCGAAGATCTGCTTCAGCCTTCACTTACTTAATCTTCATTGAAGATCTTCAGCTTTCATTGAATATCTGCCATTTCCTTTCCCGCTTGAATTTTGATTGTTTATGAGAGATCACATTATCAACTTTAGATTATGCAATTAGGCAATTTTTTTATGAATCTTGAAATTATTTGTTATTTTTTTTCAATTACATGAGATGAAATTTTTGGCTTTTTGTTTGATGTAATATACATTAAACATACTATTTTCACAATTATTATGATTTTTTCAGGCTATTTATTACCATTAATATTTATTTATTTTATTTTTTATTATATTACTGGTCCGACTAGTGACCCATTGACTGGTCATTTTGTCGAGTTGATGTCTAGACCGAGTTTTAAAACTATGCCTCACATTGAAATAAGTATCGTACCGCTTACCTGTACCATGTACCAAATTGATCCACAATTTAGGTAATATTGGTCCAGATCACATGCTGTAATAATCCAATTATGGCCAGTTGAGTAGGCAAAATCATATGTCTCCAATAAATCGAGGTTAACCACCTCAACAGCTGCCAACCTGTTGCGTAATGGCTCTTATCTCGAACCCTACTGTCTAAGTTTTCCAGGCTTCATTGCGAGTGTCGGAATGGTAAACCATCGTTTTGATAGACAGTGTTAATTTTCACGCCTCAGTTCAAGGACCTGTTGGGCATCTCAACCCTCAACCCCAAAACAAGAATTATGGTTTTAAGAAAATCAAAATACAAGAGTGAGACAGAGAATATTTTCCGGAAAAAGCAGAGGTTAATCATTAGTTCAAATGTTGTATGTAGCTTAACCACTGAACATAAAAGATTCTGACTCTATTTGGAGCTATAGAAGTACTAGGGAAATGAAAAAATTTGTTTCAAACTGGTTTGTTTTATAAATAATCTGTCAGTAATTTTCCTTCCTGTCCCTCGTTGCAATCAGAGTTCCATCTGGTACGATATAACTAAATAATGTCACAGCATTGTCCTGTCTCAAGATCTTAGTCTATAATTGATAATAACTCGTTTGCAATTGAATTTACGATTGCAAAATCTAACTACACTAGGTTCAGATAACAGCACAAATTCAATATTTCTTTTTTTCCACAAAATACAAATTACAAAATTTGTTATTCTTTTATTCTATCAATCGTGAAAATATTGCATGATATTGTAGAACATGGATATAAGCGAAATCGAAAAAAATGTTTGAGCCATAGCGCCAATTTTCTAGTAGCTTAAACAAATCGGACAAATAACAGAATCGGTGTCATATAATATCAAAATCCTAGCATGCTTCCAGATCAACAATCCAAATTCATGAATCTTAGGAGATGGACAAAACGTCCAACACTCAAACAAAACATTTTTGTTTACCATATATGAGATAGAACAAGAAATACTAAACATAAAGTGAAAGATAAACGTGTGAAGGGGAGGTAAAACTCATTTAACCTCGGCAAGGAAGATGAGAATGGGGTTGATATGGAAACGACTTGAAGAAGAAGGTCGATCTGCCGCCGTCGGCACAAGAATCAACGCAGTCGATGTGATTTTTGGAAATTACGCACGACGAAGCGGCCACGGCCTGGTTGGGCCTCAAGGACGAGAGGGAAGAGAGCCTTCTAGCTGCGACTCTCAACATCTTCTACTTTGTTTTCCTCTCTGATGAGTAATTGATTGATATCGTTTCGTCTTTCAGCGAGACTTTCAAGTCGTCAAATGCCTGGGACCCAGTTTCCTCCGCCGGCCCAATCCAGGCCTTAGAAAAAAGAGAACGTTAAATGTGCATCTAAGTGGTGTATACTATATACAACAAACTGCATATTGTATATATATATAAGTCAAAAATTTTAAAAAATATTCATTCATAATTTTATTTTTCTTGAGTTTTAAATTTTTTTCTCTAACCGGTTTTTTTTTTTCCTTTCCGGCTATTATTTGGTTGCAAAAGAGATAAAATAAAGTGATTTTAAGCACTTGACGAAAAATTTTTATTTCTTTTTTGACAGATTTTTAAGTTTGTCGTTATTTAATGGAGTGATATAAAATAAAATTAATATTTTAAGGTGTAATGTAAAAAATTTTATAGTTGAGGATATAAAATAAAATAAAAATAATAGTTTAGGGAGTAAAGTGTATTTTACTCTTCAATATATCTTTCCATTAATAGGGACCCATTCCGATTGGGCATAAGTTTTGGATCAAACTCTCTCAGATTGT